TCACATTTAATATAAAGTTATTGAGCGGTGTAACACTTAGTAAAAGTTACACCGGTGTCATTTGAACCCTCCTCATATATATATATATATATATATATATATAATCGAAGGGCCCCAACGCAATACTTACATATTTTAAGAAGAAGAAAAATATATTATTTTAACAAAATAAAAAAAATAGATCAAATTAAATTATATATTTTAACGTAAACGGATGTAATACTCCAGAGAGGAATGGTAACGTAAATATTTTATTTCTTGGTCAATTTTTGTCCATAAATATGAACATGAGAACTCATGTGCAACCTAAAAGGATACAGCCTATTAATAAGATAAATAGAAAGGATACAGCCTATTAATAAGATTAAAAAAAAAATACAGCCTACTCTATTGGTAAGGCTTTTAGAAGACTTACAAGAAGGTTCATGATATATACACCTCCTTTTTTCTATAAGTACACTTCCTTCTAAAAAGAATTAAAATTTTAAAATATTTTTAATTTTTTGTTTTAAATTTTTTAATTTTACATCCACAACATTTAATTTAGTATTTTTTTTCACACTTCTTTCCTCCTATTTTCAATTTTTACATGCATCCCCTTATTTTTCCTTCACCCCACCTATTTTGGTAATATGTGAAAATTAAAAGAGAAAAAAAAAGTGTGTGAATAATAAGAAGAAAGTAACAAATTGAAAGTTGAAAGTGTAAAATTAAATTTTTTTAAAAAAATTATAATATTTTATATTTTTTTTTTTAAAGGAGGTGTACTTATAAAAAAAAGGAAGTGTATATATCATGAGCCTCAAAGAATATAGGCTAGTTATGAAAAAAAAAATAATGAAAAAAAGTATAGGATACTTAGGGCCTCCGCTTCACATTACCAAAAAAAAAAAAAAATTGACAATGGACCACAAAATTTGTGCAATTTGGTTAGGCTAATGATATATATACACCTCTTTTTTTTTTCCTTTTTTTTTTATAAGTACACCTTTTTTTTATTTTTAAAAAATCTAAAATATTCATAATTCTTTTTTATTTTTTTATTTTTAATTTTACATATTTAACTTTCAATTTACTATTTTTTCTTTTCACACACTTTCTTTCTTCTCCTTTCCAATATTCACATGCATCATTTTGGCTTCTTCTAATTTTTCATCTATTTCAGTGGGTAGTTTTAGTTCTCTCGATTTTTAAATTACTATCTTATTTTCTCACCTCTTTCACTTTTTTACATGAACCAAAATCATTGAACTAGTAGGCGACAACATTGTAGATACGTGTAGCTTCCTTGACAATTTCTATCAAACTAGATACATTTTTTCTTCCAACACTTTCTTTCATCCCTCCAAAAACCTTAACATTAAGTTTAGTAATATGAAAAAAAACATTTTCACTATTCTAGAGTACTATGCAAATAGTGAAATCATTGAGAAAACTGAAAGAAGAAGGAAAATAGAATAATGTAAAACTAAAAAAATTAAAATTACCTATTAAAATAGGTGGGGTGAAGAAAAATTAAGGGGTGCATGTGAAAATAAGGAAAAGAGGTATGTAAAAAAGTGTTAAATTAAATGTTAGGAGTGTAAAATTAAAAAATTAAAAATAATAAAAATTAAGAATATTTTAAAATTTTAATTATTTTTTTAAAAAGAGGGTGTACTTATAAAAAAAAGAAAAAAAAAAGAAAAAGAAAGTGGATATATCATGATCCATCTGGTTAACTAGGTTCGGTTATATTTGAGGAAAAAAATTGATTCAAATTATGAACAAAAATATATTAAAAAAACTCAGAAATTTAATTAATTGGGGCCTACCGATGTTCTAAATGGTTCGACAGCCTTTTGGGCTCTCGCGACCTCTGGATTTCAAATACTTATTTATTAACTTTTATAAAATGTTTAACTTTCATGCATTATTAATATAAAACAATTTACAAGGATAATTCATTAAAAATATAATAAATACAACTTTTTTAAAATAATTATCTTAAAAATAAATAAATTTATAATCAGAAGATAGTATATATATATATAATGAGATATCATAAAATTACATGAAGTATCACAGACGCTGTTCTCTAATTTTTATTGAAGTTTCATATCGATACAAAATATCAATTTTTATTAAAGAACACCAACAATACATTTTATACTGTCTCTAAGTTTTTAAAATGTCTTTTGTTTTAATTATTTTTTTGACAAAAAATACTCTTAATTAAATTAATTTCTCTTAATTTAATAAGTTTTTGGTGAAATAAAAGTCTCATATAATATTATAAATAATTTAAAATATATAAAAATTTAAGACAAATTTAATGTTACAAACTAAATTAACTTACTATTCCTAGATTGAATTAAATAATTGAATCTTATATAAACTTATAATTAAATAATTGAATCTTACAAACTAAATTATCTTAAGGTTGTATAAATTCAATGTTTAATTAGCACTTTTCATTTTAGAATCTTGCAATTGCACTACAAATTCAGTCATTATTAGTTAGAGAGAAACACGTACGTACTTTCAATTTATAGCATCTGCATGATGCATGGCAGTCACACGCATTTGACCTACGACACCTATCTCTATTTAGCACTGACCAAAAGAGGAGCAAGAAACGGACACAACCCAAAATCACGTTACATCACAAGCAACACAACCACCACGAAAACCTCGTATCTTCCGAACCCTCCTCTTTTTTTAACCCTAGAAAACTAACTAACTACCCTGTCAACTTTTCTCTCCTATATCCTCTTGTTCCCCTCCACCACCAGGAAGGGCAGGGATAAAGGCAGCCAGAGAGGCTTTTTCACTTTCTCTTTTACATTCCAAAGTCCAACAAACCCTAATTAAACATTTAAACACATCACAAAATATGAATTTTAAGCCCTGGCTCGCTCTGCTCCTCCTGGCCCTGGCCATGGCCATGGTGGCTGAAGCTTCCAAAGTACATCAAGAATACGGGTTTGGTGCTGTGGGAGATCTCATTGGAGACGACAATGAGATGTTGCTCGATTCTGAATCCAACCGTCGCACACTCGGGAGCCGACAAAGGTACTGAGGGGTTATTTTATATTTGTTTTGTAGAGATATATTTTTCATGAGGAGTATGATATATTGTTATGTACCTAGAAATGACATATGTTTCTATATTAATATGATATTATTTGCGTCTAAATTTTGAATAATGTGAAACTTTGCTTTTATATAAACAGATACATCAGCTATGGTGCCCTTAGGGCAAACAACGTGCCATGTGGCAGGCATGGACGGTCCTACTACAATTGCCAACAGAGGGGTCGTGCCAACCCTTACTCTCGTGGCTGCAGCCGCATCACACATTGTGCTAGGGACACCAGCAGTTAAATGATGGAACAAGCGAAGTGGGAAAAGAAGATATATACGTATATATATGTGGTATAATAACTATTGTGGCTGGCTTTTGTTCTATGAACAGAGATTCTGGAATAACTTGTAGTTTCTGGCCACACTTACATGTAAGCCTCCCATTGGAATATTTATATTTTAAATACATATATGGTTATTTTATTTATTTGTTTGGGAGGTCGCTTATTTAATTTCGATTGTATGTGTGTGATGCTAATATGGGACCGAATTGGTCTTTCTATATATTCTTTATGTAATCTGTGTATAATTCTTTCTCTTCCTTTTCATCAAGTTAACATGTATGAAGCATAATTAGGATATAGAAAAACATCCAATTTATCAGAAACATACATAAAAAGGAGAGTGATGAAATTTCATGTTGTTAATTAAAGCTTTTCGCATTACGCTTTTACTTTTATATGTATATGTATATATTATTATAATAATAATAATTATTATTATTATTATTATTATTATTATGCAATTAATAACACATATTAAAGATTCGGTCGTATAAAGAATGTTTACATTATTATTCGATCATAAATTGTGATAAATTTATTAATTTTTATAATAACAATACTAAAATTTATACTCATTAAAAAATTATATACTGAGATTGTAATTTTTTTAACTAATAGTATATAGAAATTAAACTCGACAATTAATGTTTGCTATGTTTTGTTCCATTGCTTTTTGAAGGCAACCATATAATCATCTTGTCAGATATAAAATTAATCTGTTTTGGTTTCAAATAATTTCTCAGTTATGTACATATAATCATATTCTCTTGTTTTCAATTTGATGTACCTTTCTCGGCTACAGTTATCCAAAAGCACATTATATTTTTTTAAGCTTTTCTAAAGCACGTTGAGAATTTTTTTTTGTTGGCATGCACATCAAACAATTTAGCACATCGTTCCTTCATTATATAATAACCTAAAATCCCTTCTTTAAACATCTAATTAAATTAATTAATAGTCATGATTAATACAATTTAACCAATGTTATCAAGTGTATAAACTATATTTTAATTAGTTGGTGTACGTTCACCTTTTCAGCAATACGATTTGATTGGGAATCTTTCTGCACAAAGTTGTTGTACAGCACGTTTAATAACTAATAATGATTAAGAGGTATATTAATGTCCAAAAACAGAATATATAGGCATATTTATTAATTAACTAAGCATATAAATTAAAAACAATTTTTCACCTTTTCTTGAATTGTGATCTCGTGTAGGGTCTAATTTATGACTTTTTTGCTTGTTTAGGACCAACGGTAGGGCAACCTACTTGGAATTATCACTTGTGATCGGAAGTTTTAAACATGGATTACGTTTGTATGGATTGAATATGGTAGATTTCTTTATGCTGACAACATCAATATTATTGTATTGTAGAATTGGACCCCTTTCAAATTTTTCAGGCTACTAAAAGGAGAAAATCCTTTTAAAAAATCAGCTTATAGCAACCTAAAATTAACAAAAGTGAAGAAATGTCTTGCAGCCTAAAAGGGTAAATACTTATCTTTAGAAGAAGAATTGTGCCGGTGAACTTTGTACTGTCTAGCTAGTTTACCACTGTATTTTCTTTCTTTTACTAAAATGCTTTATAAAGTGGTTCATATTTTGATTTCTATACAAAGAAATTTTCTATAGTCGAGTGTGAAAGATAGGAACAAATTCCTTGGTGAGGTGGGGGAAAAGTGTGTCTCAGCCATTAGAGAAAGGATGTTTGGGGATAAAAAACTTTCATTTGTTCAATATTAGTATTAGTATGTATTGTACATAGATGTTGAGAACATGAACTGATCTAAACTCTTAAGACGTGTAATGCATCATCTTAAAAGACTTATTTGCAAACTCCCACACAAGTTTCCTAGGATATAAAAGGATCTTTCTAGTACTAGATTGGAATACAAAACTAGCAAGTTTTTAACCTAGAAAAGAGAAAACAGATAATAGAGCAATGTTCAGTGCATCTGACTCATACCGAATCTTAATATTTATAGGAGAGGGACCATTGTGACTATATAATTAATCACGATAATTAAAATTAATTAATTTTAAAAAAAATTATTATTAAAATTAAGTAAAACTACAATGGTCCCCCCACATATTTCAAAAGGTTTTTAAAAGAATATTATGGATTCTCATATAAGATGTAATACATCAGACCTAGTGTAACAAGCTATTAAACCAGACCGAAATTGATTAAACTTAAAACATAGGGTACTAAGTGTAGCAAGTTATTGAACCCAAAACACTTGATGTGTTTCAGAGGTAGTCAATCACAATACACCCCCACAATTGTTGCTCTTATCGTTGTGTTGCACTTTCAGGTCATATGCAAGGCCAATATTCATGAGTGTTCTAAAGATCTTACCATGATCTCATGCAAGTGATCCCACTTGACACTCTATACTACAAATCATACACCACCCATAAGGGATATAAAAATCATTAAAATCTTAATAAGAGGTTAATCTCATAATCACATAAAGCTCATCTATAAAAAATGATCCTCTTATTAATGTAGCTTTAGCACTTTCTCACATTATAGGAAGAGATTAAAAAATTTAGTGCTAACAAAATTAACAAGTGACTTATTTTTTTTTCATTAAACATTCTTCATGAGATCTCCAATCAAAAAGGTTGAGTTATTATCACTATTTATTTCAAACGCTTTAATAAAATATCATTCCCTTCAATGTAATTATGAATAACTCACATAATCATTTTCAATCCTTTTAAGCAATTGTTATATTACATCATTTCTTAATTTTATATTCTCAAAGGAATATTTGCTAAGAGGTTCTCAACCACTAAACCTTATAATCAATCATCTATAAAGTAACAAACTTTAATTCAATAATTACTATTGGTTGATCTCAAATTAATTATACTACAACAAAGTGTAATGACACAACATTAGTGAATTTTTTCTCATATGGGTCCAAGATTCAATTAATTATCATTGTATTTTCTAATATAATGAAAAATTCACAATGTTAATACTATAATTTATGGCATCTCTCTAGCATATCATGATATCTGGCAAAATTGTTAACAATTCACATTCTCATACAATAACTTTTAAGAGTTAAACTCAAAAGGCTCACATCATTAATATCAAAGGTATTAACATTCATCGTATGATAATGCATTTAATTAAGATACTCAAATGCCACTAACTATCTCTTATGTAATGTCATATAGATTAACATATTGTCTCAAAAGAAAATAAAGTATATAATCACTAGATCAATTATATATGGTCACAATAAAATATGAGATTTAAAAACCAATATCTCTAAAAAATATAGATCAAAATATTTTTATAACCACATAAATTGACGCACATTAATTTTTATTGGTAATATATATAGGGTGAATCTCATCTTATTCATAAGAACTAATATTGATAATTAATTGTTCCTACTATGGAAAGAATCTCAAAAATCAATTTCTCACGTCATTTTTCAAATGATACCCCCCAATTTATTCTTTCCATCATTTCACCACATGCTTTCACACAAATAAATAAATATTTAATTCTCCTCAAAGGCTTTTAATTTAATGCACAAATAAATATATAAAATCTGCTCTCAACATAATGTGCTAATCATGATTGTGAATGACGTCACATGCGCCACACTTTTAATTAGTAGTTACAACACAAAGTAATTTAATTACCAATTAATATATATAATTGAATATAATAATTCAATATAACAGTATGTTACGTACCATGATATCCATGCATAAAATATTTAACACATGTTGATTAAGAAAATTTGGACAAATTCTTACCAAATTGATTGCTCAATTAATTATGCTTACTGTTATTGATATGAACTCCTTCTTATGAAACTCATCACTCTAGAATACCCAATGGTAGAACCACATCAGATTGACCAATTAACACCTTGTTTTCTTCCACATGTGATCGTCACTGTAGCGTATACATTGCATTCTCTTCATAATCATAGTCTCATGCTCATCTATATCTCATTCATCAAGAATTTTCATAGACAACTTTAAGGTCTTTAGATTATTGTCCACAAATACTGAGAACACGAACTAGCAAAATCCCTATGATACAACAAAATTTTCCTAGTAGTAGACTAGGATACAAAACTAGCAAGTTTTGAATCCAAAAGAGAGAAGAGAGTAGTGTTCAGTATCTATTTATAGGAGGAGGACACTAATTGTTGTGACTATAATTAATCACGATAATTAAAATTATAACTAATCTTGAAATCTTTAATCATTAAAATTAAACTATAATAATTAAATTATTATATCTCATTAAAATTGATATTAATTAAGTTTTAATACCAGTAATTAATAAAATAATTATTTAAAATTTAAATTTAAATTCAAAATAATTTTATGAATTAAATTTTTGAAATATCTCAAAATATAGAATATTATGTAGAAAAATGGAGGCTCTTAAATGATAAGGAAGTTAATTGGTACGGGTTACTTTTAACTAAATATGGCCCTTAATTTCACAAGAATTCTCTTGATATATATATATATATATAATATATATATATA